ACCCAGCTAGTGAAAGTAAACTGTTTTTTCTCAAGTCTAATGTCAAAAATTTGGACTGTGTTTACCTTTTCATAATGAGAGTCAATTCACAATAATGGATTTTGACTGCAAATTTAAGTGGCAGCTGATATCCAGCTGGTCTTCCTGGGCGACCATGACACACTAAATAGGTAGTACATTTAGAGCAGCTGATGTCTCGATTAATTGTCAATGTGGGTAATTTCTACATGAATTCGATGTGCAATGTTGCCAACCATGTGAAATACTATAAGGAAAATTTTGACGGAAAGACGAGACAAAAACTAAGGTTTTTGTTTTGATACATAACCTTATTATTGCATCATGTGGGCGACCTTATTTATTTGCCTTAATTACAGTAAACAAGTTGGAAAATAAAAACTATGGCCCAATTATAAGATCGAACAATCCTGATAATTTCATCGGTACGAAAACATAAACAAAAAATTGCCTGTATGGTGATACTTCAATCAAAACTACCAATAAGGATTGATCTATGAAATGGGCCTTGTTAAAAACATTCCTTCACCCGCTGAACTCAAATCTCCCAAGTTTTCTCATGCAACGATATGACAAGAATCTTCACGATCTTGGTAAATTTAATAACTGCAAATATTGAGCTTAAGAAATCTCTAGAAATACAAGATTAAAAAAAACGGCGGTTTTGTCAGTCAGCTGAGCGAACATCTAGAACAAGATCTATTAATAAGGTCAACCAACTAGCGAACGTCAGCTGTTTTTCTTTCTCAAGTCTAATGTCAAACATTTTAATTTTGTTTACGTTTTCATAATGGGAGTTAATTCACAATAATGGATTTTGACAGAAAACTTAAGTGGCAGCTGATATACAGCTAGTCTCCCTGGACGACCTTATTAATAGGCCTCGATATGGGGTTTATAAGTTCTTATCGGAAACAATTTCCTCAGTAAACATATTTTAAAATTTTCATAGTAAATTTTGTAATTGCCAGTTTTGTTGTTAAATTTGAAAAAAATGTTACCATAACTTCTTAGCAAAAATATTTTTGTTATAAAGAAATTATAAAAAGGAAGGCAAATTATTTCGAAGATCATGTTTGATGTTTGAGGAAGCTGTGGACATTTTCCTTTTTTTATTATTAGAGAGACCATACTCAAAAAATATCAGTGTCATTTTGAGACAATTTCCATCATTTTTTGAGAAAAGTTTAAAAAACGCTAAAAATTTTAAACTATATACACAAAAATAAATAAATATCATTGACAGCTGTCTGTGACAGTTAAAATGTTTCAACTTCTATAAATATGTTTTCTAATTCTAATCTAAATAAAACTGATTGTATAAATGCCAAACCCCATTTCAAATGCATTTGGAAAATGGTGGCCTTGCATTTTAATGTGCCATGAATGATGTGGCCTTATACAAAGAAATAAAAGAATATTTAAAAAAATATGTTTGTAATACTTGAGTTCACAAACTTTATAAAAAAAAAGTAAAATAAAATAACAATTATTCATATAAGAAAAATGCAAAACAGAAATAAAATATTGAACTATGCTTTGCAAATATTGTAATCCAACCAAATAAGGCTTATTTTTCTTTACATATATATATATATATATATATTATATCATATATCCTTAAAAACATATGTTATGTCACTAAAAAACCCTTATAACAATTTTAAAACGATTTCAATTGATTTAGCCCCTAAGTCTCTAAAACCACAACATCTATCAAGTCATTCTAAATTATGCAAGTGTAATATTTTCCTGTTTTTTGTTAATATAATTCTTCAGTATTTAAAAAAATAATAGAATATTTAAAAATTGTTAACAATTCTTAAGAATATATTCATGCTTTAATTTATCTAAATGTAAATTATTGATAATGAATAGTAAGAACAACAACAATTAATGTTAGTTTAAACGAGAGTTTCAAAATCGAATTAAAACAATAACAAATAATAATTATTTATGTATGAGGGAGGTTTAACAAATATATATGGGGCAGGATATACTCTTTTGTTGAGGGGGTTTGCCTCATATTTTATATTGGAAATTTGTGAGAAAATACATGTTTGGGAAATTTTAGAAATTGGATCTTTGGCTTACTGTTTTTGATATTTTTATTTAAATTCTTTCCAAATCCTAGTTACTATCTGCAATTTAAATTGCATCTCTTAAATTCTTCTCCTTCCTTCCTTCCATCCATCTTTCCACCTCCCTCTCTCATATATTAGTTATTAACAATCAGAAAAAACATAACTAACTACATTATACACATAGTGTTCAACAAATGTTATGAATAACAAATAATTCTAAAATAGAGAGGATATGAAATGGAATTATCACAAATTCAAAATATATAGTCATTATTTACGATAAGCATTTATACACACTAATTATTAAGTATGTATTCTTGTAATGAGTGTTTTTGTAATATTTTTTGTACAATGTAATATTGTGTGTGTACTTATTTTCATATTTTTATTTTTTTGTAATATTTGATTGTGTTCTTGTAAATAAATAATTTTATTTAAGTAAATAAAAACAACTTAAATAATAAAGGCGAAAAATTTAAAAAAAAATGTGTATTTTTTGTTTTATTATATGGAAATGTGGTTATAAACTTCAAGAATAAATACAAGTAAAAACCAGTAAAGAAAGTTGAAAAGTAGGACGAGCCCGACTATATGATACCCTTCACCACTTTTGGTATATGTATCCTAACAGACGTCGATTTTTCGAATCATTCAGTTCAGTACGCTATGCCAATTACATTAAATTGGGTGGAATGTGTATGGGAGCTTAACTAAATCTGAACCGATTTTCACGAAACTTAACGAACATCATTCTAGACTCAACTCAGTATGTTATGCCAAATTTCGTGCCAATCGAAAGATATATAGGGACTTTGGTCCACCGTTTACATTAAATCGGACGCAAAAATATATGAGAGCTATATCTAAATCTTAACCGATTTTCACGAAACTTAACTCACATCATTTTAGACTCAACTCAGTACGCTATGTCAAGCTTCGTGCAAATCGTAAGATATGTAGGGACTGTGGTGCACAACTTACATTATATCGGACGAAAGTAGATATGGAAGCTATATCTAAATCTGAACCGATTTTCACAAAACTTAGCATACATCTTTCTAGACTAAATTCAGTGCGCAATGCCAAATTTCTTGCAAATCGTAAGATATATAGGGACTTTAGTGCACCATTTACATAAAATCGAAGGAAAATATATATGAGAGCTATATCTAAATCTGAACCGATTTTCTCTAATTTCAATAGGGTTCGTCCTTGGGCCAAATAAATGAGCAGTGCCAAATTTCATCCAATTCGGATTATAAATGCGACCTGCGATAGGTGTCTTATACAAAATCTGGCCACATATTTGGTAGCTAAATCATCGATAACATTGTGACTCAGACAAGAACCTGCAGTCAAGATTTATTCAATGTCCTTTACTACCATGCAGATTTGCTATACAGAATTGTAGTGTTTTTTATCTTATCTGAGAACATTTATCTCCTATCTCAGGAATCAATTGATGCTATATTATCCCTAAAATGGCGAAAGCCTCTTATGAGTTGGTTTAGGTTATACTACATAAAATATAGATGTAAGCAATTAGTAACTTTGCCTTCGTCTTGTCGACCGAAGTCTGGAATTCATAGAATACTGCAATATTATAGTTCTTAAACATTGTCGGCTTCTATTTTCTTAAAGTTTATTTTGATGTAGGATGCGGCTACACCAATCCCAATTATTCTAATTCAAACAGATCATTAGCAAGGGATATCGAAGACAAAGGAACTTAGGTTACACTAACACTTTTTCTGATACATGTTATTTATTCTCTGCTCATTGCAAGGTCTATAGATTATAGATCCAATTTGAAAAGCGGGTACCGTCTAGTTGCTCAAAATATATGAAGTATTTAAGAATAATCCAATATGTTCCAATATGTTTCCTATCTACATTTTCAATATAAGTATTATAGCCACTTACCCTTACAAAATCTCGTGCATCCTTCAGTGAGATATTGGTATTATTGGGCTATTTCAAGCAGCCACCAGACCGTTTAAATAAAACACAAGGACATAATTAAAATTCGATCTGATTAACATGCGAAAATTGGAATGTTTGATGAACTTTTTTTTATTTTCATTGAAATCAATGTCAATTTCGGATTTTGGCCACTTCATGCCAATTCTTGCCGCTAATAACACACATTCACAACGACAAATTCTTTCAGCACTATTTTCATTAATTCTCTCATTGTTATCAATTTTAAATATCGCCAAATTTTATTAAGATTGAAAATTTGTCATGGATATTTGTAAACATACTTTGTCAAAAAACTGAAACTTTAAAAGATGACGCTACCGGAATTTCGAAATTCAACTTTTTCTTACAATCTGTCAGTTGATTGACAACCTCCTCTTCACAAAGATTGCCAACCTCATTCCAATTAGAATGCGACACTTTTTACGAAAAATGTTTCCACGGCAACCCTAATTTCATAAACGAACTGTGGGAATCAATTTTTCATAACAAGTCTACCGAATTGGCATCTGCTATATAATTCGTGGTGTATAGCAGTCAAATATTGAGGTTTCTTAGAATCGGAATAATTTAGTTCAATTGTAACTCCCGGTATATTAATGAGCTGGTTCGTCAGTTATTCCATCTACACACCATGTATATTGCAAGATCTGATCCAGGCCTGCTATCTAGTATTTGAATATCAGCTGTTTTCTTGTCGTTTGTCACTTACCATTCGTAAATATAAATATTATTCCTCTCACTAGCTTTTCTCCTCATTCGTAAACATAATGCATTTTCGTTGATTTTACTTCTTCCAACATTTCATAATAAGAAATAGTTCATTAACTCATTTCAGTGAATCGTTCAATTGAAGCACAAGGCGATTACTGTTCGGGTCCCTAGGAATCAATTGGAACTGGAAGAATACCCATGAAAATGGCCAGTGATTGGTAAAAAAACTTATTTCAATAATCAAGAAATCCACATAAGCAACTATGGCTTCGTTTTCACAGGGTTTGTGCACCCCGCCTCTATGAGGTCACCAAAAACTACTTTCCAAGTTTTCAGACATTTGATCATCCACTGAAACTGGTCACAGTGGTGGATAGCAAGGGGACAAGAGCGCCAAGTTTGGGTAGCAATGCCAGTAGCCGTTCATCTAGCATGTCGGTACTGGCCGATCCGTTGTCACAAACAACATTGGATGCGGCCCTGGATCCTTTGTCGCAGTTTGCAAAGCAGGACCAGGATGCTATAGATCCATTAACACAAATGGCCTCGGAATATGTAAGGAAGGGGAATTCAATTAAAACTATGTTAATAAACAATGGATTTATCATTACAGGAATCCTTTAAAAAGGTCAAATCGAAAATACGCGACAAAGAAACATTGGACGTACTCGAGGACACTTTAAATTGGAATTCCAGACGGTTGACCATATTAAATAAATTCACCACATCTGAAAAGCTATCAATATCAACTAGTTTCTTGACAACATCCAGTTCATCTCAGTTGGGAACTGATACAAGTATATAATACCCTATACCGTGTTTAATTGTCCCGATTAACTTTTATTTCCTCCCCTCGTTTTCCATTTAGTTAAAGTCCAAACTGTTGTCTCCGATAAGGTTAAATTTCGTTTAGAACAATTAGATGATTTTGAAGATGGCTCGGTGCGTCATATGATGGACTTAACCCAGCAGGAATATATTCAACGCATAGAACAATTAAATCATGAATTGGTACAATCCTGGCATAATGATCAGCGCGTTAAGGCCTTGAAAATCGCAATACAATGTTCTAAAATTTTAGCAGATACCTCTGTTCTATCCTTTTATCCCAGTCAATTTGTTCTTATCACAGATATATTGGATATTTTTGGAAAATTGGTATATGATCGGCTTAAACAGAAGGCCACTTCGGGACCAGAGTAAGTTTGTCATCGAATACAAATAAATGAAGTGAATTAATTGCTACTTTTTGTTTCAGATCCATGCGCCAATCCAATGCTGATAGTGCGCGAGATACATGCCAAAATTGGTTTTTCAAAATCGCCTCAATTCGTGAACTTTTACCCAGGTTGTATGTGGAAATGGCCATACTAAAATGTTATGAGTTTTTAAATGAAAGGTAATTGGGGGAGTTTTTTTTGAATTTATAATAACAAATTTATGCAAAATTATTATTTTCTGTTAACATTAGTTACGACGATGCTTTACTGCGCTTAACCAAAGCTTTACGTGGTATTGGAGATCCATTGGTGGCCATATATGCCCGTTGCTACTTAGTGCGTACCGGGGTACTTTTGCAATCACCCAACAAGGCATATATTTATCAAAATTTCAGAGACTTCCTGTACATATATCAAACGGTAAGATAGACCCCTACTTTTGTTTTAAAATTTTGTTCAATTTTAATTACCTTTCTCCTTGCAGATATTTAGCGGTTCAATACGTTCTGAATTGAATAGACAACGGGTTGATATGTCAGCTTATTTGGCATTATATGGTCCTGCTTTAAATTTTATCTTAGAAGCATTGGTGCACAAAAATAGTCTCTACAATGAAGAAATTCTCAAGGATGTTCAAAGTATAAAAAATAAGTAAGATCTTTAATGTATTCCAATTCTACATCGATTCTAATATACAAATTGTATTACAGTGGCACAATTCTTATGTCAATTTTACACGCCTTCCAACCGGAATTCATTGCCGCTCATGCCTTTGAATTTGTTAATGTTTTATCCGCCTCTACTGAGGGTATTTCTAAGTCGCAACTCTTCAAAGCACTGGGTACAAGTATGAGTACATGCTCGCCACTGTGTGAATCCAAACAAACATTTTTACATGAAGTGTTTAAGACCATTAATACCTTTACCGATCCCAATGAATATATAATAAGTGTTGAATCATGGGCACAATATATTGCCACAAATATGCCGGTAAGTAAAAGGGATTAATTCGCAATACCTATCTACGTCACGTCAATTTTAAATAAATTTTGATTTTAAGACATTTTTGTATCCCTGTGAAAATATAGTAATTACAATCTTTTTCAGATTGCCGAAGTAAATCGCTTCCTGGGAGAAATACACAGTCGCATTTCCATCTCAAAGGCCGTGTGCGAAAAACATCATCAACAATTGAGGAATATACTGGATAAAATATTGCAATATCACAAAAATATTGAATTGCTTTTGGTGCAAGTAAGTCCAATTGTGATTAAGCAACTTTTATCTATTTTGTTTCCAGAAATAGTAAAGAGATCAGATCATAGAAGATCTAAAAATCATAGACAATCATATGTAGTCTAGATAGATCTTCGATAGACGACCAAAAGGTCTCCTCATAGACGACAAAGGGGTCTTCTCTTCTTCTATATCAAACAGTCTTTACATAAAATATCAATCACATAGTTTTCTGTGTATATCTCAAAAGGTATCTTTGAAGAAATTCAGATTTTTTCGCAGAGAACCAGATAACACTCTCTTAGAGGAACCAGATTCCTCTCACAGATTACAATTAATGAATTTATTCTTAAATATATCATAAAAATATGATCCCAATCGTAACATGAAAACCAGAAAATTCTCTCATAAAAGTTGAAGAGGCATTCTCGCGGAAAAGAACTCATTTTTACCATAGGTTACCTTGTGAGTTTTTATGTATAACAAGTCGACCAATAGGTCGATGTATTCTCATAATTGAGATCTTCTTGTATGAAGACTTTTTGGTCTTCTATATAAAGACCTCTTGATCTTCAATGAGTAGACTTTTTGTCCTTCTAAGAGTCGACTTTTTGATCTTCTATGACAATACCTCTTAATCTTCTATGAGAAGACATTTTGATCTCCTATGAGAAGGCATGTTGATATTCTATAAGAAGAACCTTTGTCTTCTATGAGGAGAACTTTTGGTCTCTTCATAAAAAAATCCCAAGGTCTTCTTGTAGAAGAATGTCACGAAAACAAGAATATCATATCATCTTCGATGAAAAGATCATGAAGACTTCTTACCCTGAAATCTCATTGTATAAATCTTTTTGATTTTTTGAGGAAGTCAGGGGGCTCTTAGAATTCTAGAACTCTCGGAGACTTTATCTAAAAGAACTCAAGAAGATTTTTTAAGGAAGACATCTTTCCAGAAGGTTTCAGAAATGTTGCAAAGCCTTCGAGGAGTTAAAGTCTTACTTAGCCAATTTCCCAAATTTTCAGATCATATCTAAAATATTCGGCTCATAAAAAATAATTGCCAATTAAACATTTATTAGATTATTTGTGTAGACACAAATAATCTATAAATCATTTTTTAAAATCTTCTTTTCTATTTCTAGGAACACTTTTTGGCCTATTTGGACTTATTTCAAAAAGAGTCACTAAAAGTTGAAGCTTGCAAGCATATTTTGGATATTTACAAACGAAATGGTAGTGATTCCACAAATGATCCCATTGTTATAAATGCCTTAATGTATATCGGAAAAATACTCAATGATTATGTAAAGTAAGTCATTACAGCATTCATTTTGAAAATACATCATTTAAATACATCCGTTTCTTTCAGTGCCCTAACCGTTGAAGATGAAAGGCGACAAATCTCAAATTTAATTTGCAATTTTATACGTAAAGTTCATTTTGGTACAGATTTCGAGAAGCAATTAAGTTTTTATGTCGAGGCGAGGGGTACATTTTCTAATCTCGATAGTGTGTACAATACTTTAGTACATTCCGTTAATAAATTGGCAATGGAAACATGTCAAATTGTGCAATATAAACATACACGAAAAACGCTGAGTTTTGTTAAGGCCTGTGTGGCATTTTGTTTTATAACCATACCCAGTATTACATCGATACAACAACAAATGGATTTATATTTATTGAGTGGACAAGTAGCATTGGTGAACAATTGTTTGGGCCAGGCTGATGCTTGCTTTGAGGAGGCATTAAATCTTGTACCAGATTTACAAAATACCATAGATATCGATGGTAAATCACGAACAATGGATACGTATCTTACAGCGTTTCTTAATAATATGTTGGCCACATTGGTATTGGTACCCGATAGCCCGGATCAGGGTGTATTGTATTTGTTACGTTTGCTATTGGATGTTATTCAAAAATATCCGTTTGCCCACGAAAGTGGTCCCGCAAATATCTACTTAAATGCTCTAGATATGTTGTATGTGCAAAGTTTGGAAACGTTTCCCTATCACATACCGGGAGGTAGGTTTAAATATATATATTTTTTAATTTAACAATTGTTTATTTTTTTTTAGTTATTTCTAATGATGATCTATATGGCCACGATCCCAAATTTTTGGGTGAGGTAAATAATTTGTGTGCCTTTGTGGTGGAAGAAATCCTACGATGTTTAAGTCAATTGGGTAATATCCAACAATATAAACTGCAAGCCACACTTTCATTGGAACTTTTGGTACGCATTGTACGCTATGCTGATTTATCCAAGGAACAAATATATCTTTTGGCTTTGAATCTGGGTCTATTGGCCTTGAAACATGAATCCCTAATGGAAGCGAAATATATTGTAAGTATCTGCAGAATGTGCCAGATTACAAACGATAATTTTTATTTTACATATTAACATATTAGTTGGTTAAATTATATTAAAAAATAATAAATTTTTATTAGTAATAATATTATATTATTTATTTGTGTATTCCTGCAGGTTCGTGTCCTAAAGTCTCTCGAGGATTATCATAAAATATTGCAAAACATTTTTCCTTCTCAGGCCAAGTATTTGCAACAAATACTTGCACGTTTGCAATCGAAGCAGTAATCGGCGTTGAACGCTTAAATCGTTTTTTTATTATCGAAAACTGACACAATGAACGATGACCACTTTAAATAATCAATTATCATAACATAAGCTTTGTATTATTAAGAAAAATTATTTATACTCATGTACAATTTAGAATTCATTAAATATATATAACTTCTTTATACTACAATTGATGATGGTTGAGAAGATTTTTTGGTCTTCTATAAGAAAACTTTGTAGTATTTATAAGAATTGTTTGTCTTCTATGAGAAGACTTTATGGTCTTCTATGAGAAGATCTTTTGGTCTTCTATGAGAAGTACTTTTGGTCTTCTATGAGAAGACCTTTTTGTCTTCTATAAGAATACCTTTTGATATTCTATACGAAGACCTTCTGGTCTTCTATGAGAAGACCTTCTGGGGGGTTACTCTGTATTGCGATGCGTAAGAAAAATTGTATCGCATCGCGTAATTGGTACTCTCTAATTCGTTTTCGTATCTCCTTTCGCATCTACTTTACGCAAATGTGGCATCACCGCAATCTGTAATACGAAAACGCATGTCAAACTAGTTCGTTAAACGCAAATATCTTGCGTTAACAAAATAGCAAACGCAAATGAAGCGAAACATGTAAATAAGAACAATTAAAGTTTTTATTTACATCTAAATTGATAATTATTTTGGGTGAAAGCCAAAAAAAGTTACAGTTGACGACTCAGCACCGTCAGTTCCAAACTTTAGTAGATTTTATGGTGCAACACAGCGATTTGGCAAGGGGCCAGTTGTAGAGTTCAAATGCGAAACGACGCGCGAAAAAATTGTAGAGAAAACTGGATGATGACCTTAATTCAGATGGACCTCCTGTAAGAGATGTCGCTGGTTGGGAAAAAGTAATGTTTTATATTTTATATATATAAAATGTGAAACTATGTGTGCATATTTACAGGTTGGTGTTGATAACCACCTTGTCCAAGCAATTTCAACGTCCACTTTTATTGGATTTGGAATTGCTGTGGATCTATTTGGAACGACGAGGTCATTTTTAATAGCGTTTATTAAAAACATAAACGCATCTTTATTGAGACGAACATTTTGTACAAATTTATAAAAATTAAATATTTGAAAACGTTTGACACATTATTCGTACTTCTATTTTCTCTTAAAATTCTTTTTTTTTAGTTGGTTCGTCATTTTTGTTTAAAAAAAACACTCGTACCACATAAAAATATGTTTTGAAATGTTTAATGTTAAAAAAAACACTCGTACCACATACAAATATGTTTTTATTTACAATTTTTTGACGTTTCCTTTTGTCATTTTTCGTTATTGTTTACTTTGTGGTGCCAGTGTTGCCCTATTTTGGATTTATTTTGCGAATGCGTTTGCGTGAGCGATACAGAGTACCAAATTGCACTCTTAACGCATTTAGCTTTCGCATCGCACTGGCTTTCGCAACGCAATACAGAGTAACCCCCCTGGTCTTCTATGAGAAGACCTTTTGGTCTTCTATGAGAAGACCTTTTGGTCTTCTATGAGAAGACCTTTTGGTCTTCTATGAGAAGACCTTTTGGTCTTCTATGAGAAGACCTTTTGGTCTTCTATGAGAAGACCTTTTGGTCTTCTATGAGAAGACCTTTTGGTCTTCTATGAGAAGACCTTTTGGTCTTCTATGAGAAGACCTTTTGGTCTTCTATGAGAAGACCTTTTGGTCTTCTATGAGAAGACCTTTTGGTCTTCTATGAGAAGACCTTTTGGTCTTCTATGAGAAGACCTTTCGGTCTTCTATGAGAAGACCTTTTGGTCTTCTATGAGAAGACCTTTTGGTCTTCTATGAGAAGACCTTTTGGTCTTCTATGAGAAGACCTTTTGGTCTTCTATGAGAAAGCCTTTTGGTCTTCTATGCGAAGACCCTTTGGTATTTTATGAGAACACATTTTGATCTTCTCACAGATTACCTTTTGGTCTTCTATAAGAAGACCTTCTGGACTACTATTAGAGAGGACCTTCTGTTCTTTTGGGCTTCTTTAGGAAGATTTTTTTTGTCTTCTATCAGAGTAACTTCTGGTCTTCTATGAGAATATCTTTCGGTATTTTATGAGATCTTTCCGTCTTCTATTAAAAGACGTGTTGTTTTTAATGCGAAGACCTTTTGGTCTTCTATGCGAAAGCCTTTTGACTTTTTGGACTTCTATAGAAAGACCTTTTGAAGTAATCTACAATTGTACTTACTGTGATACAATTAATCTTTCACGAAATCGTTTATATTGTAATTTTGAATAGAAACCACAATAAATAATTTTGGTTTTTTTTCTAAGTTTTTTTTATTGGAAAAGAATTGTCGTTTTTTGTTTTTTTGTTGTTGTTTTATTTAAATATATTCTTATGATCAAAGTGATACGCTGCTGTAATTATATGCTCGTATTATTCTGTTTCTTTATTTTCAATTTATTTATGGTTTTTGTTGTTGTTTTTTATTATTATGAGAATTATGAAGTTTAGTGTACGTAAGTGTGTGTGTGTGAGTTTGTGTTCTGTAGTATGAATGCGAGTTTGGATTTTGGAATAGTAAAGTGTAAAAGTAAATATCGTATAATTTGTGTATCATTTTTTTGTTTGTTGTAATTTATTTCCATATTTTGTATAATAATATACACTACCACTTGTTTTTTTGTTGTTTACTTTTTTGTAACTATAGGTATTTTCATAAACTCTTCACTACACAAAAGCGTAATAAATTATGGCAAAACAAAGAAGAAGAAAAAGAGGAATACCTTTCTTTGTGGGGGCGTGATTTCTTTTTTTAACAAGTAGGGTGTTTTTTTTCAAAAATAGGAAACTAACTATAGAACTATAAATGAAAGTCAAGCTTTTTTTCCATAACCATCCCGAGAATGAAAACTTCTAGTAATTGAGAAAAAATAAGAAAACTGCAAAGCATTTAGGGAATGTCGACAATTCATTGACATTTTTATATAAATTTTCTGAACGAAAAATTCAAATTCTTTATGAAAACAACTTTTTTAAAGAAGGCATTCGTCCATAGCTTTCAGATGAATATAAGCAGTTTATTTGCATTTACCTTCCAGCAAACCATCCCTGTCACATTTATAAAAAAGAAGTACCCTTAAGCAAATATTTAAACACCAAAACCTTAATGGTGTAGTTGGTTTGAGGACAAGAATATGACCGTACAACTTAGTGTGTTTGAAAAAGACGTTTCTTTGTTTTGTTTGTTTTTTTAATAGACACACACATTCTAATAAATGTTACCATTTACTTATGAGCCATTCTAAGAAATCTGATGAATTTACCAGCGAAAAGGGGCCGACAATAAAAACAAACTCAATTTACCAGCGAAAAAGGGCCGACAATAAAAACAAACTCCACTAACAGTTTAATAGTCATTTCAATTACCGGAAATAAAGGAAGTCCTTAAATAATGCAAGTATGATGTCATTGTTGGTCCTTACTCCGTTTCTTTCGTGCTATTAATTATTCTACCCAAGTTGTACACACCAAAACACATCCTGCTACCCCATAATTAAAAGTAAAATTGGTTTATGACACCCTAGGGTAATATAACATTTATGAAATTTTCTCCCCCTCCACCCAACAACAACAATAAAGGTGGAACAAACTTCAGTGCTATTTTTTAAATGTCAAACCTTTTGGCCACATAATGATGTGTTTTGATTCATGTTTTAATGTCTAAATTAAACTACACCTTTTTCAAATGTTATTCAAAACATTTCAATTGCAATTCGAGAATTTCATTTGTAATTCGCAAACTCAATTTGCAATTCATAACATTTCAGTTTTAATTCGAGAATGTAATTGGTAATTTACAACATTTCATTTGCTATTTTAAACTTTTCATATGAAATAAAAAAAAAAACATTTCCGTTTGTCATTCGTATATTTCCATTCTAAATTCGTAGAGTTTTATTTGAACTGCAAAGAAATTAATTTACAATTCAATGAATTCAATTTAAAATTCATAACATTTCACGTGCAGTTCATAATATTTCAGTTGTAATTCGTAACAATTCATTTCAAATTCAATATGTATGAATTTCTGTTACCAATAATATTTTTCGAATTTAAATGAAATGAAAGTGTTATGTATTTCAAATCAAATGTTATGTATTTCAAATAAAATGTTATGAATTTCAAATGGAAGTATATGAATACAAACAAGTGAAAAAGCGTTAAATTCGGCCCTTGGATACCCTCCCACCATAGGTATACTGACAGATACTTGAAATGAAAACATAGGGAATATACCAAAAAGTGAACCTATACAGATAATTCTACAAACCGGTTTATGTAATCCATTATGTACACCAAATACAAATTTCAGCAATTTTTAATGAAAACCCCAAAACATGGACGATACTAATAACGCATGGTAGAATATACAAAGTGAAAAACTGACTATTTCCCCCTATACTTTGGTATAATACGCCTATATAGGGACAACCCCTACACACGGAACTTATATAAACTTATTTTAATATAAAAAGGGGGAATATAAAAAGGGGGCAAATATTAATACTTTTTAGAAGGATGATTTGTTACCATAGCGAATTCGGTTGAAAACGCGCTCAAGAACACCAAAATACCGAAAATTGAGGGTACCCTATATGGGGGCTACCCGAAAAAATGGGCCTATAATTACAATTTTTAGTGAAGAAATTTGGTACCCAATAAGAACCCATTGTTAAAAACGCTCTTTAACCCCCGAAAATACCGTAAATTGGGGGTACCTTTATATGGGGGCTACCAAAAAAAGTGGACCTATTTTTTTAATTTGTAGTGGAGGCATTTGATACCCAAAAAGAACCCAATGTACCAAATTTCAGCGAATTCGGTTGAAAAGTGAGCTCAAGAACCCAAAAATATCGAAAATTGAGCGGCACCCTTATATGGGGGATATGCCTAAACTTTGACCGATATAGCCCATCTTCGAAGTTGACCTGCCTGCAGACAAAAGACGACTCTATGCCAAATTTTGGCGATTTATCTCACGGTCAAACGAACTGACATGGCTATAAATGTTACTCTGATCAAGAATATATACTGTACAGAACGCTGTACGTTACCCTGTTCGTTTTCATAAGTCCCATTCCAATACATGGAGATCGGTAACTGAAGTATATTAACGATTCAAAAAGTCAACACAATAATCATCGACGTTGCTCAACCAACACCACACATGAATACTCTAGAACGTAAACATAAAAAAATATTCAACAAGATTGTGGGTATTTTGTGGTTTCCAAATCCATATACAGTATTAGGATTGAATAAACAAAAATTGCCTACGATAGACAGTTCATTTTTAGATCGCATGTATTGGAACTTTCCCAAATGCATAAAAGTCCCCTTATATTCCCTTTCGCACATATTCCCATCCGACAATAAAAAAAATAAGTATTAAACATTTAAATGAATATCCATGAAGTGCGTAGAAAACGATTTTTAAATCCCCACCACTAGGGCACACAATTATTCACAAATCACATTCCATTGCAAAAGTAAAAAAAAAACGAAACGGAATAACTCATACGCCTTCCTTCCTCTCTCCCTCTACCTAAGAATGATATTAAACTGTTCCGCAGCAGTCTTAAAAATTAAGAATTATTTACTAATATTTGATTAATAATAAATTTGTTTATTTTATTGTGTGTTTCGTAGCAGTTTTTTATTATTAATTATCAAATTTTTTTATGTAATTTTATATGACTGTTCTTCTGCTGCTGCTTCTTGATGGTTTATTGGTTAGTTGGTAGGTAGGTTGTTTGGGATTTAGTGTGTGGTGTGTTGTTGTGTGGGTGGTTGGTTGGAAGTGTGTGTGTCTTGTATTTCTAATATATGTACTTCTTTTTTAGTTGTATGTCTGTCTCTCATCACTTTGCGCAATTGTTCTCTAATCTTCTCTCAATATTTAAAAAATGATAATATTTTTGTTGTGTTTGTTTTTTTCTTTTATTTGTTGTTTATTTTTTGATGTAATTTTTTCTGATGTTGTTGTTCTTATTTGTTGCTGTTTTTTATTTTATTTTTAATATATAATTTTCATTTTTGTTATAATATTTTTGCTTTTATTATTTATCCTTTTTTGTAATGCAAAAAAATAATTTTTTCATTTTCAAACATTGAAATGATGGAGGAGAAGGTGGTGTAGAATTGTGTCTATTGGCGGCTGCATTTATTGGACACACATGGGGTGACGCAAAATAATAAAGGAGACAACGAGCTGAATTTTTGTGTGTTTTATTGGAGTGGAGGGGAAGAAGAGTAGTTTCTGTATTTTTTGTTTTCTTTTCAGTTTCTACTGCTCTTGTTTTTTGTATTATCGAATGTGACCTCTATAAAAAGTGGAAAATATAGAATTATTACATTTAATTGTAATGACTACATTTAAAAAAAATACATATGTATAATAATATAATAATAATAGTAGTTGTTGTTTTGTTGATGATGTAGAAAAAAACATGCTTCTGCGGATTGTCGATCCAACGACCGACCACTCGATCGCTCGATTGACTGACTGGCTGTTTGATTTAATTAATACAAACGAACATAAAAAGACAAGAGATGAAAAAGAGATGTGTACTTCTGGTATTTCCGAATTGAAAAATTTTATTAATTATATGTAGTTTGGGGGTGGGTGGTGGAAGGAGGAATAGAGAAGGGAGCCATGAATTATGAATTGTTTCTGGGATTGTTGTTCTTGTAGTGGTGGTGGTTGTGGAGAAGGTGGTGTTGCAGTTGCGGTAATAACTGGAGAACAGTTTCCTTTCTTTCTGTTTCTTGTTGTTGTTGTAGTTTTAAAAATAAGAAATGCAAATAGTATTTTAGGGGGTATGTTTTTGTTTTGTTTTTAAGGATTTTTTTGTTTTGTTTTGTGGGGGGTTTACTTAAATTACGACACATCCTGATCTTCAACATCTTGGATTTGTTCTTTTTGTTCACCATCACCTGCAAGAGAAGAAGAAAAACAAAGTATGCACATGTATAAGTATAATCAACAATTCGCATATGGGGGGCGGAGGTATGTATTTAGTACAGAACAAACACTTACCATCGGCTTGCATATCCGATGTCCATAATGTAAGGTTGTCCCTCAGCAGTTGCATGATAAGTGTGGAATCTTTGTAACTTTCTTCACTTAATGTATCAAGTTCTGCAATGGCATCATCGAATGCTGCTTTCGCCAAACGGCAGGCGCGATCGGGTGAGTTCAAAATTTCATAATAGAATACCTGGAAAAGAAAAATAAATGAGGAAACATTTGGTTAGTATTGAAAGGTCACAAATCAAATCATGTTGAGGTGGTTGATTTCTGGTGTAGATCATATGGAAGCTTTGTGTGTGGAAAGATTTGACATCAATTGGAAAATGTTTTGCTTCATTTGAGGGAGTTTTTTTTTTCTAAATACTATTTTCTATATCAAAATGGCCAATTCAAATTCTACTCACCGAGAAATTAAGCGCCAAACCCAAACGAATTGGATGTGTTGGTGGCAAATCATTCATAGCAATATCACTAGCTGCCTTATAGGCAATCAATGAATTTTCGGCCGCATCTTTGCGATCCGAACCGGTTGCAAATTCAGCCAAATAACGATGGTAATCACCCTTCATTTTATAGTAGAATACTTTACTTTCGCCTGTGGTGGCACATGGAATGAGATGTTTCTCTAAAACATTTAATATGTCCGAGCATATATCGCGTAATTCTTTTTCGACTTGTCCGCGATAGGTTTTGATCATTTCCAATTTCTCCTCGGCACCCTTATTCTCCTCCTTTTGTTCAATTGAGGTAATTATACGCCATGAGGCACGACGAGCGCCAATCACATTTTTGTAGGCAACCGATAAAAGATTACGTTCTTCAACGGTTAGTTCAACATCCATGGAGGCAACTTTTTTCATGGCCTCAACCATTTCTGTAATGGAAAAAAAGAAGAAGAAAAATATGAAAGATAAGAAAATAATTTCAAAATTGTTCTTTTTTTTATTTAAAATTATGTGAGAAATTTGCAAGGGTCCATACATTCATCTTCATTTGTTGCTGGTTATCGAGTTCAATTAGTATTGTAAAGGTGGGTATGTCATATCTGGGAGTGCCAATTATTTATTTCAAAATTTATATAAATTACGAAATACAGGAATTTATAAATGGTTGGATATCAAAATGGGTTTGAAGTAAAAAAATGTTGAGTCAATTGACGACCGAAGGGTATATTTTAAAACGTAAAATACTATATTTTTGGTAATTGTTGAAATCGTAGCAAATAATATACCACTTAAGTTTCTTATACAATCAAAGTATTTAAAAAATGCAAAAAAGACACGTTATCCAATACGGACCCAAATCCATGCTTAGGAAGTTCATTTTTTATAGAATACTACTCTAAAACCAAAAACAAGGAGATCTAATAAAATTCCGAAGGCATTTCCTTCAATGATCTTAGATAAAATAAGAAATGTTTCAGATTTCCCTACATAAGTCCAAAAATATTTCCCATAACATAGAATATAGGTGTGTTCTCTTAGATATTTTCCCATAGAAGACTCATAAATGGCGGGTAAGTATTATCATGGATATTTTTTGATTCCACAGATATTCGTTAAAAAAATCAAATAGGTTCTCATATATTGCCAACTGAAGACGGGAGATTTTCTAAATGAAAACAAAAGATTTCTCATTGAAGTTTAGTATAGTCTTCTCAGAGATCGGGAAAAGACTCCGACAGAAGGGCAATAAAACATTTTTTATAAGGTAAAGGTCTATAGGGTTGTATAAATTTGACTTAAATCCTCCTGAAAACACCAGTATTATTAGAAGGTCAATAGGAGTTGAAATATTCAATTCGTTTTTACAATGAAAAGACCAGATGTAACTTCTAATGGTAGGTAAAAAAACGTTTTTCGCTAGATAGCCATAAAGAATGACAATTCATTTTCCAGGGAAAGACAGATTGCTCAACGTAGGCCCAACGGTCTTTTCAAAGAGTGCCAACTAAATATTCTTATAGAAGGCAAAATGTTCTTATTCTACAAATCAAAATACTCATCTATGTGAAATACATAGAAAAAATTTTTTGAAACCTTTTTCAGAGGTAGATATTTTTACCCTAATTATGGGGATATATTTTTTTCTTTGGGCCCGGATGTCAGTGTATCCGGTTATACTCGGTCTTACGGATCCGATATGGGTATAATTTAAAAATATTTCGCAAATGAATTTCCTCGTTTTTGTAGGGTTCTAATGTGACCTATCGCACCATTTTGGAAAGCGCAAATTGTAGCCTATAATTTGAGATATTGACTATAATAAGGCGTATAATGGACCCATGTTCTAAGGAGTTTTTCCAAAAAATCAGGGTAAAAAACTCGTTTTTTTAATCTTTTAAACTATTTGAGATAATTAGAAGAGTACTAAGGTCCAAAATGATTAATTTGTTTCGTTTCAGAAACCCACATTTTATTAGTATTGACTTGTGGCCAATATTATGAATTAAATTTCCTCAATGGATTATTACAAGATGTTCTTCATATAGAAGAGATGCAAAAACTCTTACACATTGAAGGAGCTTTCCTTAGTATTACAAAGGTCACACATCTCTCTTCTAAAATAGCCTGACTTTTGAATTTTTGAGTTTTAAAATTATTCTAATCTAATTTAATATCCCTATGGGTTTTATAATCTCTCAAGTGTTTCATAACTCACTTCATAAGACAACAAAAAAAAACTAGGCTAAAGTTAGAATATTAATAATGACCTTCAATAATTTAAGCATCTCGTAACGATGGTTAAGTTGTCTGTCTGTCTTTCGGAGAAAAGAAACAAAAACCCATTTCACTTGCAGTTTTTAGCAGTCATGCAAATAACTAACCAGGAGGCATCGTGGAACAGACAGGCGCAGCAACAGACCAAAAACAACCAACAATACAAAGAAGACTCAACAATGGAGAAGGAAATGCAGATAATTGTAAATCATATCCATGAACAAAAAAAAAACAATTCTGGCACGAGTCTAGATAATTGTTTGCTGCATAAAACAATCAAGAACACGCATGTTGTTGTCGTAACCAAGGGGAGAAAGAAGATGAATGGGAATTAAACATTTGTGGCCTAAAAGAAAACAACAGCAAGAATAAAGAAAAGCCCTGCTTACAACATCAATCTTCAATTTCAAACAACAGCAGACAAATAGACGACTGACTGGCTGGCTAGGTTATGGCGGCATATCCCACAGACCACTTAAATCGCAGAAAAAAGCTAAAACAAAATATGTAAACGGCACAAACACAACGGCCGGCCAAGTATTTAAAATGTACATTCCCCCAATAATAAAAATAACAACAACAGCAACAATGAGAGGGGCAACAAATAACATAACCTACTCGCGTACAAAAGTTGTTGCCGGCACATAAGAAATTACCGAACAAAGTAGCGAGAAAAAGAAACAAAGCAGAATTCTTTGAATTAAAAAAGAACGAAACGAACAAAAATTATGTGAAATAACAAAAGCAACAAACTTGAAAATAACAAGAACAAACGAACATTTTAGTATCTAAGGCAGTCCGACAGTTAGCCAGTCAAACAGCCAGCCAGCCGCAATCACAGCAGTCGCGTTTTGGCGACTAACATTGATTTAGCAGCCGCCAACTAAAAATCTGCACACACCACAACTCTGGAATGAACATCAAGATTTCAGTCATGCGTGTGAGTGAGCAAGACAAATCCATCTACCACAAAAATCATCATCAGCCAGCCATAATCTCAGTGAGACACGAGGAGACTGTAATCGCCGCTTGGTTAGCTGTTTGCTGCGCGGCGGCATACAACAAAACCAAAACGAAAAGTTGTATTTTTTTGGCAAAATCAAAAGCACACACTGCTGCTAGGCTATAATATATTTTATATCGCATAGATTGAAACAGAAAACAGAAACACAAGTGGAGCGCAAAAACACTAGCACAGTATTGGGGAGAGAGGTTGAAAAGGGGAAGGGTAGGGGAGGGGGGTTCAGTCGGTCGGTCATAAAGAGCGAGCGGTTAGTTAACAACAACAGTATCGTATGTTGGTTGCTTGTTGTGTTCCAATAATAAAATATAACGCATTTAAAAAACAGCAATGAAAGTTGCTCATTACCTGCTGTGGAGTGTTGAGAGGTGAGGAAGCAAAAACTAAGGTAACAACATGGTCACCACACCATTACCACCATCATCATAACCAACCAACATTTTATTGGCGGTGAGTGGTGGCGACATAAAAACTCCACAAAATATCCTTCAACACAGGGCCCACACACACACATACACACTGGTGTATTAAAAACAGGCTCTCAATTATTACGGTTTTGTGATTCGCTTCATGTTCGCTCGCTGGCCAACACCACTCCAGGTTAGACAGTTACGACGACAACAAACTCTTCAAAAACTGCACCCCCAAAAATCAAATCGAAACCAAGTGGAGGTGGTGGATGGGTGGGTGTCGATGACAACGTCGAAATGTCTACCACTTCTTCTGTATTGAACAAAAATCTATAACATAGTTCCTTCCTATATCTGTTTTTTGGACACTAACACACATACAATAATAAAAAAAGAAATAAAATAAAAAAAATATATTTTAGTATGCTCCAATTTCTCAAAAATAAAAATGGTTTGGGGGTAGGTTGATGTTTGTTACCAACTCTAATGGCAATGGAACACACAGGGTTTGGTCCGTTTGATAATAGAGTAAGAGAAGTGGTGGGTGAGTTGCATGTGTAAAAACGTTGCTGCTGTTGTTTGGAGGAGATGGCAAAATTAAATGAATTCTACTTGCGCACAAGGGATGAAAATCTAAATAGAGAGCTGATGGAGAATATTTTCTTCTTCCACCCAGACACAATAACACGCTCCACTACACAACAGCGAGCGAGCAAATAGACAGGCTCCCCCCGACCAGGAAAAACAGAAACAAAACATGCTAATCACGCAAATTATTTAAATTCAAATTTGCCACGGTTACACGTTGTAACACAAAACAACAGCAACACAAACAGTTTCAAACAAAATTTTTTTCCAAAGAACTTATATTGGCCAAAAAAAAACCAACCAGCCACATTAGTGTAAGGTCGCCATTGGTATATACGATGAGTAATACTGCATTTTTTCAGACAGAAAATCTAGCACAGTGTTGCCATGACAGGCAGGATAAAACTGGGTGAAAATAGTAGAAAAACAAAAAAAATTCAAGAAAATTAAATAAAATTTAACATAACCCGACAAAAGGGCGTTTTTCATCATACCCTGAGTAACTATTAAATAAAATTTGACATAACGCGACAAAGGGGCGTTTTTCATCATACCCTGAGTAACTATTTTTGAAATATATAAAAGGTAAAGGTCATATTGTTGAGGTTCAAAAGTAGAAGAAATAAAGTCAAATATAAAGATTGAATTGATTTTCAATTTGTTTAAAAGCCAATACCAAGAACATATATCTGAGGATCAATCAACGGATTTACATTTATCTAAGAATTCCTAAATGAAAAAAATAAAGAATCACAACAGAAGAGTAAGACAAAGAAGGCAAAAATGTAAATATAAGTCAAATAAGAAGATTTTCTAGGTGTGCTGAAGAAGGCTATATTCAAAATTTCGTTTTATACTAGAGGTTACAAACAGATATTTTTTATTCTAAAGGGAAATAGAAACCCCTGCCAATCTGTAATAAAAGTAGCGATTCTACAACAAGATAAATCAATACCTTACATATAATAGTGTGTAGAAGCTAGTTTCAATTTTCATAAATTATCTGTAAAATCGTCCCCTGCGCATCAGCTTTGATCGAATAAATCTTTCAGTTTTCAGTTCAGTTCAGTTTAATTCGGTTATAATAAACTTATACAAACTTATATAAATATATAAAATACTTAACGGAAATATTACGAATCAAAGTTTTCCCACAGATGTTCTTAATATAGAAGAGATAAAAATACACCTATTTGTTACACCTTCAATGTATCATCATTGAAGGAGTTCTCCTTAGTATTACAAAGGTCCCACACACCTCTCTTCTTGCAGCAAATCCAAAATCTATTCATATTGACCTGTTAATAATTATTCTAATCTAATCAAATATCCCTATGGGTTTTATAATCTCTTCAAGTGTTTCATAACTCGCCCCATAAGACAAATCTTTACTCTTAAAGCGAACTGCGGATGTAGCGAATTTTTTTTATAACGAATTATTTATTTGATCCCTTATTTCAGTTTTCATTTATTTTAATTCGGTTATAACGAACTTGCTATAAATATACAAAATACTTAACGATGACCAACCTGATCAACATTTAATTTATAGCTAACGCTGGCAACCTTCACAAAAATTTCAGATTCATCAAAGGATAAGTATTGTATTTTTTCTGCTAATCCTTGATTTTTATCTTACATTGGTTATAACGAACTAATTTCTTTGGTCCTTGTAATATATTTGTAACCAGGACCAGACCTGCTAGTTGTAGAAGATCTGTCAAAATAGTCTGCCTACATTTGTTTCTAAGTGGGATTCATTATACTTATGGTTTTTGTCAAGACATTAGGACCAGAAGGACCTTGTTATCAGTGTTGATTCAAGACACAATTTAATAATTAAATTTCAATTCTGCACTTGTAGGTGACAAGGCTTCACTTTACAGACTTCGAAGTGAGAAATGTTGATGTTGCCTAAAGGGGGAAACACATACGAGAATTCAGACCTGTGGGCCTATTCTGTAACTTTAAACAACATCCGATATTGTTTAAATGTCTTTTGTTATTGTAAAAACAATAAAACAAACAAATGAAATTGTTGTAAAATAAACAATACCGAATGTTGTTAAAAAGTTGCAGAATGGGCCTACTGGCCTGTTAAGTTGTCTTGGTATGAAATTTCAATTTATAAAGGAATATCAGATTCAAACTTGAATTTAGCTACCGTTCTCTTTTATTCTTTTACAACTAACGAAGCCAACTTAGCATGCCAATTCTGACGTCCTCTTTATGTGTTTCTCCTTTAATGCACCTCAGGACTTTTTAAGTTTATTAATATGAATGAAATAAATAGTGAAAAACCGTAAGTCTTAAAATTTTTTCAATCGATTCTATTTCGGCACGAAATTAACACTGATGTAGACTATCAAATAAGTCTGCATAAAAAACCCATTGTTTTTCATAAAAAAAATCTGGGTACATAATCCGAAATTTCTACTTCCATAAACAACACTGTCTTCATGGTACTGGTTCCCATAAGGACATCTATTTCAAAATCATTTCAACCTCTTTTAAACATATAGTTGATTCTAGCATTTACGTGAAATTTGGTCTGTTCCTGTACTGCAGAATCTACTACTTTTTACTACGAAACAAATTTTCCTTTAGTACGGGAACAGACAATTATATCAGCGTTCAAGCACTTCAGTTCAATAACTTATCGAATTCCCTCTCCAACAACACTCCCTTTTTCCAAACCTAAATTATTACAAAACGATCAGATGGATGATGAGCTTACAAAAGAAAAGAAAAAAACAACAACAAAAACATTGTTTACAAACAAATCTCTGCCTATTTTTAAAATTTAAAGAAAAAACTCCCATTCCCCACCAAAAAAAAAAAAATCAGTGAGAGTAAATGGATGAGATGAGTCACTACGACGACGTCGTTTTTAAGTCATTTGCGTGTGTGACGATGATGACGAGTGTGCGCATGCATGCATATTTTTTTGGGGGGATACAAAAAACAAAACACATTTGCTAATTATGATTTCCCCCCAATTTGGGTAAAATGTGTATCATGGCAACTCTATTCAAACAACCAACAACAAAAACGCACACACACACTTCTGTGTATATACACCAAATTCAAATTCTTGACGGTCGGTCGTCGGTAGGTTTGATTACAAGTGAATGTGAGTGTGTGTTTGTGCGTTTTAGACTTTTTTGGTTACTTTTTTCCTTTTGTTCAGCAGCGGCGCGCAAAGCAACAACGATCGATTCATTCATCGATTTTTCGCGCTTGTAATGAAACAAGACGACAGCTCATAGCGAAGAAACGCACAAACACGCACACTCATGCACACCTTTTGCCAAATGGCAAAATCACACATTTGCAACAAACTATAAAAGTAGATGAGAAAAAAAATATATATTTTCATCAACTCTCATGAAATGGGAGAGAAAAAACAAATAATGAAAAGAGGCAAGGAGACCGAGTAAGCAAAAAAAAAGAGTTAACAAACAAGGCAACTACTAAAATAACAACAACTACTCTAAAAATAATCTGCGAATTGTTTAAAACATAGCTAGCGGTGCTATTCACTCAAACAGCAAACAGGATACTAAAGTACAACACTTCACGTTTTAGCAAGTGAAATGGCAATAGAAGATAATGAGAGGAGATTGACAACGAAAAAGAAGAGGAGGAAGACGGCGGCACTGGACGACGATGATGATGACTCGAAATTGCAAAAACCACATTTTAAGACGAAAGAATTTTTTTTCGCCATGAAGCAGCAATAAAAATGGTTTGTTTGCCATTCCCCCTACTGAATTTTACTTCCTCATTACGGGGATTTAAAGATAGTCAACGACGACTACGACCAAGAATGAAAATGTATCTAAATTTAGATGCCGGAATAACACTTCGGAGAAAATGAAAAAATAATAAAAAAAAAACAAAATTATATATAAAATAAATTACACTCATGTGCAAGACACCACCCTAAAATAAACATAACCCCCACCCCCCTACATCATCCACATTCACGTCGACGACGCAGCAGTCACTCCATAGTCATCGCTGTCAGCCGTCGTCGCCGCCACCGTCGTTGTCGTCATATACATTATGGAAATTTTCTCTATACTCTTTGAGATTTTAACCAAGAAAATTGTTCACACAAAATTTCCAATCAATTGACGACAATTGAAAAAAAAAACAAATTTCTTTTGTACAATAAGAAGAAAATTCCAGCCACGAGTTTGTTGAGATTGGATGCATGATTCTAGCAAAAAAAAAAAAACACGCCGCCGAAGAATTTTTGCCGGCAAAAAACAAGTTTTGTTGTATTTATTATTGCGATTTCTACGAAAATTTTTACTCATCATCATCAACACAAACGTTATTTGTGTGTGGATTGACTGACTGTTTAAAGAAACGGCTGGCTGACTGGCCTTTTGATAGCTTTGGCTGGCTGGCTGCTGACGCACCAACCAACGAAAAGACAGAGAAGCGACACAGACCGACTGATAGACATTCGGGTTTACTTTACTTATTTCGCTTGTCCATTATTCCCCCGTTTCCATACATTTGAAGATTCGATTCTTCCAGAGAAAAAATTTTTCAATTTTATCCATTCAACGACTTTTCAATACAGGGAACTAACTCAGATGATGCTGATGATGGCTCATTGCATGGGATGTTTCAATAAATATCTTTTAAAAGTTGATTACTAGTTTTCTTTTTTTGTTTCAATTGATTTTTTTTTCTGTTAGGTCTATTACTCACCATCATAGCGTTCTGCTTGCTCGGCCAATTTAGCCTTGTACACATTATTTTCCCGTTCAGACATTGTGCAAATAATTTATTTGTGGTAGAGTTGCAGTTGTTGTTGCTATTTGTGTATTTGGAGAAAAGGTTTTTTGTTAATTCCTTTTTCTGCTTTTCTGTTTGTTAATAACAATTTAACAACAGTTTCTCGTTTGAATCCCGGCGTCGGTCGTTGTGCTTCTGTATTTCAGTTACGACTTGGTCGCCTTCGTTCTGCCGTTTTTTCTTTGCTTTTTTGCTTAACTTTTTTCTCTACTACGTTTTTTCTTCTTTCTCTGACAAGCCGCCGCTTCTCTTCTATACTGTATGTATGTGTGTGTATTTTTTCAATGTCGTTGGGTGTACGCAGGGTAAAGTCGCTCCAAAATCCTGGTCAGAGAAGAGAAAAAGAAATGATTTTCAGTGGTTTTTTTTCGTTAAATTCAATATCACTGAGTCACTTTTATAAATATATGTTTTGTTTTTTACTTAGATTTGTTCGGAAATTAATTTTTTTTGTTCTTTTTATTCAAATTTCAACAATAAAAAATACACACTTTAAAATGGTTGATGATCGCCGTCGTCTTTACACCGCTGCTTCTCGATTTGATTTGTATAGAATCGTCGTCACACTAGTTTTTCGTTCCTTTTTTGTAGCTTTGTCGCGCATTGCAAGCAAGGCAACGAAAAATTTTCGCATGCCGATATGGCCGCAGCATAAGTGGGAAAAGGAAAGGTAATATAACCAATATGGCCGCACCTTTTTGTAGTTTTGCAGTGCTGCGCAGAAAATCATTGTTGGCAATGCCCGAGAAATGTCAATGCGGCGTATAGCTAAATGGTGGCGTAAAGGTGGCGACGTCGAAATTACGTTTGAGCAATGTAAATTCTACCGTTTTTTGCACGAGAAAACAAAATGGCAAATAATACAATTTTGTGTTCATTATTACTTGTTGTTTATATAATGGAATTTATAATAGGCGCTTTATAGCACTTATAATTCAAAAAGTATAGCGCGTTCAAAAGTCTGCTTTGAAAGGTCAATGTTTGTTTATAAAACTGTACATTTACATTGTACTGTATTTATCCAAAATACTTCCTCATAGAGGTGGTGAAACGGCAAAAAGCTCTAATCATTACAACCTGCCAATAATTAATTTGAAATGTGACCTATAAACTTAATGGCATTGTCACACGAGCCATATTTCATATGTGCTGCCAGTTTTTCTGTACCTACGAAATTTGTATGTATGTCAAAATTGGTTCTTAACAAACATCTTCTACTTTTGTGTATTTGCATGTTTGTTTATTTTTTCCTTCCACTAATTAAACTTTGTTTCTTAAATTTTTTATCAAAAATATATCTTCATTTTCCAAGCAATTAAAACAACTGATTTATTTGGTATACATATGAAAATACATACAGAAATAGATCCGAAAAAAATTACATATGTGTTGTTATATCGTTTTAACAAATGCATTATTTGGCGTGTGCCACACGACGTGTACAGTACTCACATATGTAAAATTTGTTAAAAAAAAAATTCAATAATAACTATTGGCCGTGATAGACACACTACGCTAGTTTTAAGCTAATTATTTTAAGTTTGTTATTTAAAATTGCAATGTTTATTTATTGTAGATCAGAAAACTTCCCTGAAGATGATATTCATAAATAAATACAAATATTGACCTCAAGCTCGATCAGCCATCTATAATTTGTTTATTGAATTAATTAAATTAATTAAGTTATTTTTAGACCTGTGAAGCTATACCCATCCATTGTCATTATTAATTGAATTGTGCTGTGTCAACCTGTATACGTCATTGATAACTGATTAGAAGAGCAACAAAATTAGGGGGAAACACAAAAGACGACTTCAGGCCTGCCCTGTCAAGTTGTCTTTGTTTCAAGGTAGATATACAAGGTTACCGCATCGGCGAATTTCTACAACAAACATCGGTTGTTGTATTTTGATATGTCAAAAATATTTTGCCAAAACAAACAGATTCGCAAGATTTTTTTACACAAATTCTTGTAGAAAATGTTAATAAAAGTATTGCCAAACAAGCTCTTCGAAATTCGGAGATTTTCATTTATAAATTTGTTTTTTTTTAATTTTTAGCTTAAATAAGGTAGCCGATGCGGCTACCGATAAGGCCATATTATTTCACCCGAGCTATAAAAATGCTATAACGTAAACAAAAATTTTGAAAACTTGGGGGATTTTAATCCAAAATTGCCTATAACGATTGCTTCTTACACGACCTGTTTATTGGACCCATGGCCTATAAATAAGGTCACCAAGGGAGACCAGCTGATTATCGATACCTCTCAAGTTTGCTGTCAAAATGCATTATTGTGAATTGACTTCCATTATGAAAACGTAAACAAAGTCGAAATTTTTGACATTAGACTTGAGAAAAAACAGCTGTTTTCCGATTTCGATTGCTATCTTGGTGACCTTATTAATAGATCTTGATTGGACCATGGACCATGGCCTATAAATAAGGTCACCAAGGGAGACCAGCTGATTATCGATACCTCTCAAGTTTGCTGTCAAAATACATTATTGTGAATTGACTTCCGTTATGAAAACGTAAACAAAGTCGAAATTTTATATATTAGACTTGAGAAAAAACAGCTGTTTTCCGATTTCGATTGCTATCTTGGTGACCTTATTAATAGATCTTGGATCTTGCCATGGCATTAGACTTTTCAATACAAAAAGTCGATTAATCGAAAGTCGATTTACTTATCCCTAATCATAATTTGCCTAAACCTCATTCGTAAACAACACGGTTTCCATTATCCCACCTCATTCGTAAACTTTCGGTTATACCATTTTGAGTTCATCTTTATCGGCCATTTTGTCTTCTCCTCCCATTCGTTAGCAGGTGGAACGTTTTTCAATTTTTATTTTAGCTCCGTTCCAAAACCTAAAAGAATCTACTAATTTTACAAGTTTTGCAACTTTTTACTCGAAAACCGTTCCTGAACCCATAATTTTTATGGTAAAGCATTGAATCAAATTTAAGAGAGCACAAAACAAAATGGCTTTCTCTTTGTAAACTTTTTGTTAAACTTTTGTAAACTTTGTTATTTATTAACAGCTTTTGGGCTCTTTGACAATGTTGTTGGACAGAAGTAAAAGTTATATTTAAAACTGGGATTGTTATTTTTTGAAACAATACCACAATATGGCACCGGATTTGGGAGGATGGATACACAGCTTTGCTGTAACTGAAACTCAAACCCATAAAGCTGGTTTTACTCTCTACAAAATAACATCAATTGTATGTATTAAAAGGCAAATATTAATTTTAAGATTATTATAGAATATCTTTCTCTCCTAGGTCTTTCCCAGGTCGGTGCCGCAGGCTTTAACCACCCTAGTGGTTTGGCGACGTTTTCATGATATTAAAAAATTGCATCGTGATTTAAAGAGACGACATAAAAGCCTTGGTCTACCCGGCTATATGCCTGAACCCATTGATTGTTCATTTTTCAAACGCTTCGATCAAGATGTTATACGAAAACGTAAGGCCTATATTGTATCGCTGTTGGATTTCGTTGCCCAGCATCCAGCCTTGTATAAGTCACACAGTTTTGCCCAGTTCTTTAGCAGTGAAACAACGCCCTCAAATAAAATACACAAATTAGTACAAAAAGCAGCACGTAGTTTCGTTAGGAGCCCTGAAATTGAACATGATGTTGTGGTTAATGGTAAGGCAGCCAACGATGATATTGCAAAATATGAAATATTGCCGGATGATAACACCGATAGAAATGAGGAACAGGCAGAAGAGGAGACGGAGGAGGAGGACACCATTTGTGGTGATGGCGAAAACATTAACAAAGATACCATCACCAAAACAAGTGGTCTATCGACAACAACAACAACAACAACCAAGTGTAATTTACGTTTTTTGACCCCCATGGCATCTGTGGAAAGTGAAGATAGCGATTATATTTACGATGCAGCTCTCGAATTCAGTTCAGCCGTACAAGCAGAAGCAAATTTGGATTATAATGATGCTTATATGCGCTATAAATCCGGTGTTGATATATTGTTGAAAGGTTGTAAAGACGATTTGAATGAGGATAGGGTTTATATTGCCAGAGCGAAAATAACCAAATATTTGGCCAGAGCAGAAGACATCCATGAGCGGTTTTTGAAAACATCACAAAGGTCAATTACCTCAATCGTTTCGACATCAAACTTCCAATTAGCCTTAGATGTATCGTGCAATACCAATTCCGAGAGTTCTGGATTTTATCTCGAACGTCCATGGAATCATATGGCTAAATATAAAGTAAACGCCTTGCTGGGTAATAAGGTGTTGTTGGTCTCGTGTATTACCGAACCGTTAAAACCGAAATATGTAATGAAGGGTATTGAGAAGCCATCCAGCAACTCGCCCACACAAACAGTATTCCTTCCACAACATGTGCCATATATGGTGGATCTATTGGCGTTTTTCCAATCTGATCAGAAAATATTTCTATTACTCAAGCTGGCCTTGGGTGGCAATTTAATTGATTATGTACATTCCCAAAACCAAAGTAATGCTATTGCTGCAGCTAAGGAAAAACCCTGTGATGGTGATATCACATCTTCAGATACTGTTACGGACCCAATGAACTCAGACAGTAATGTACAAGACTTGGTAGAATCTTCCAAACAACTTATTGAATCTGTTTCAAATACTATAAACCAATCGGAATTCGTACCCCGCCTGGTGAACGGTATTCTACTATATGGCATTCCACAACATTTACTTAAGAAGTGGTCACAACAACTGCTGGTTGCCATACATGCTTTGCATGAGAAGAGTGTCATATTATGGTGAGTGTCGTCGTCTATTTTATATCTTCATTCAATTATATCTTCGTATGCCATTTTTTTAGTGATCTTCATATGGACAATTTATTATTAGATGAAGATGGTCAATTACTTTTAACGTATTTTTATCAAAACGAAGGCATCTCATCGGATAGTTTTATTCACAAAGCCCTGAATCCAAAGGCGCTGGATAATCATTTTGTTGCACCGGAACGTCCTTTGACCTTACGTTCGGATTGGTGGAGTTATGGTGTTATATTGTATGAATTGTTTGTTGGTTTGGTAAGTATGTTATTTTCTTTTTTAAAATAGGTAATAATAGTATTTTAATGAATGTTCCATATATAGAAAGGAATTTTAGGTTTTACATAGAATAATGGAAAATTAGAAATGGGTGCTTTCATTGTAAAAAAATTGCGGATATGTATTTTTTGAACACCTGTTTCTGTATGAAGGAGTAGCCATATCGAATCAAATTTTTACATGAGTTCATAACAGAGATGGAAGTTTCCAAAACACTTAATTTTTGTCTGTTTATGCCGCCCTTTCTGTCCTAGGCTAAGAACATTCTGAACTGCTCTCGTAAGAGGCTTTTTGGGTGCCTATATAAATACCTTTTGACCTTCTTTTATAAAGACCTTTTGTTTTCTGTAAGAATCACATTTTGTCCTCCTATCAAAAAAAACCTTGTTATCCATAATTATTTTAATAATTCTCATTTTTTTAATATCATTTCAGCCCTTCAAAGCTGCACATCCGGGTCAAATCGATTTATATGGTTTCGTGCAATATCCGGAAAATATCGAAATACCAAAAGTAATGCGCAACTTATTGGAAAAACTATTGCAACAGGAACCGGAAGAACGTCTCGACTATGAGCGTATCAAACAACATGAATATTTTGAGGATACCAATTGGGAAGAGATTAGACAAGAAGGTTTTAATTGTACTACAAGTGAAAATAAAAATTAGAATTTTTTTTTACCAAAATTTAGTTTTTTATTATTACTAAATATTTTTTGTTTTTTATTTGTATTATATAAAATTGTTGTTTTTTTCATATGTTCCTTATTTTGTTTTTAAATTTTTACAAAAATAAAATATAATTATAAAAATATGATTTAAAAATTATTATTTATTGGCTATGACTTACAAATACAAATGAAATAACATTAATTTTAAATAAGCTGAAAAAATTATTTATAATATTTGAAAATATAACTAAGATTTTAAAATTACAAATTATGAAAACATTAACAACAATTGGTAAAGACCAATTGTTTGTTTTTTAATTTAATAAAAATAAATATTTATTGTCACAAACCACAACAGTGTTTTTTCAGTTAGAAGTTGTTTAAAAAAATATTAATTACTTAAAAAATTATTCAATTGAATAAGGCACATTTGGAATACATTGTTTTTGGTTTTTATATATACTACTTATATATTCTATTATGGAACATGTTTGGTACTAGAACTATTTGCTATTGTAATTTGTTAAAATATGTTAACTTTTCTAAAATTCTAATTATAATTTATAAACCTCATTTAGGCTTTGATTTTGCTTACAACTAAGTGTTTAAGGCACATTTGGAATGCAATCTTTTGGAGTATTCTCACGAATTTACAACTTATATGGCAAATGGTTTTAAACTAAAAACTAAACTTTGGACAAGACTTTGGATTTTGTTGTTTTTTTTTTTCTTTAAATTATTCCATTGACAAAAAAAAAAACTAAAACTAACCTAAAAAACTAATTACACAAATAGATAACAAAAGAAATGCTTGACACACAAATACATACACAGAGAGGGGCCCAGGCAGCACACCCAGCTCACAAAGGACGACAAAATGTTCGAAATTTTAACAGCCGTTCTCTTTGTTCCTGCTGTTGCTGCCTACGCAATTGCCAACGTTTTTGAACTTCGTGGGCATGACGATTTTGTAGAATTGAGGTTGTCGTCATCGTCGTGGGATGTTTATGGTGTTCAAGCATTTCTTTTAATGCAAAAAAGGCGGCAAAACATAAGTATGGGAAACTGTACCGTTTTGTTGCTGTTGTTGTTGATGACCGGCGGCTGCGGCGGCAGCAGCATTTACTTCTTCACTTTTTATTACCGTTTGTAGGCCATTATCATTTGGATCATCACCCGTAGCTCCGGACGCTGTGGTAACATTTAAATGCGTTGCTTGTTGTGATGCTTGCTGCTGTTGTTGCGATTCGTGGGGTGTAATATGACATATTGTACCATTCTGCTCCAACTCATTACCGCCGGGACCAACATTCAAATATTTGGCTTCCTCGGTTGTTAAATATTTCGAACTTGTACCATTCTGTTGATGTACCATATGTACAGTAGTGCCATCCGCTAAATGGGCAGCTGTTGTTACATCTTCACCCATCATTCCCGATTGAGTCATATACCCGGAACCATCATGATTATGTAATTTGTGTACATCGTCAGGTTGTTGAGCAACACCACCGCCACCACCTCCACCCATTTCTACTCGTGGTGGACTACCGTATTCAAAATGACGCATTGGGAATATTTGCGATTCATGGACATAGGTACCATACTGGCTGGTGTAGGTACCGTAGGGGCTAGCCGCCGGTGATAGTAAACTAAATTGTGGACTCAACTCATATGGTGGCTGATAACTTGTCCAACTGTCCATACTACCGGGCGGGGTCACAGTTGTGGTTTGTGGAAATGTGGCAAACGGTGCTGCCAGCGTGGTATTCAATGTTGAGGTGGGCGGAGTACTGGTCTTAATGTAACCAGTTTTACGTGGCGGCTCATGTTTACGCCACTTGGCGCGGCGATTTTGAAACCAAACTTGTACACGAGATTCACTCAGATTCAATTTAATGGCCAATTCTTCGCGGGCAAAAACATCTGGGTATGGAGCTCGTTCAAAGGCCCGTTCCAATTCTTCCAATTGATAGGCGGTAAATGTAGTTCTGGAAATAAAATGGGGAAAAGGAGAATGCTATTAAAATTTTGTTTTTGAAATGACATATTCAAAACTGCTAAAATATAAAATATTTCAAATTTTTATAGAAAAAAGTCTGAAAAATCGAGTTAATAGATACGAGGCCAGTTCGGAAAGTTCTTAGCCTAGCACAAAAAAGCGCTGTATAAACAGAAAAAAGTTAACAGTGTTTTGGAAACCAATTCAAAACAAAAATAAATGACATATTTTTCAAAACCAAGGAGTTTGTTAAATTTTGTGTTTTGGAAACTTCCATCTTCATGTTAAATTTTGTTTCGATCTGGCAACTCCTTAATATAGAAACAGTTGTTCAAAAAAGACGCATCCGCAATTTTTACAATGAAAAAAAATTTAAATGGCAGCTTTCATTGAAAAAAAAAAAAATTGGGAATGCATTTTTTGAACAACTGTTTCTATATAAAGGAGTTGCCAGATCGAAGCGAATTTAACATGTGTTCATAACAGAGATGGAAGTTTCCAAAACAATTCACTTTTTTCTGTTTATATCGCGCTTTTTGTGCTAGGCTAAGAACTTTCCGAACTGTCCTCGTATTAATTCGGCAAATTTTGGAATAAAAGTTGAAATAGAGGACTTGTTTTGTTTTTAAATAAAAATCCCTTTCTAATATTGAAGATATCTCTGCAAGATCTGAATTCACACCGACGGGTTTATGTATTCTATAAATTGACGACTTTCATGTTACAAAAAAATATAACTCGATTTTTTTAGGCTCTAAGCAATACCTATTTGGGGATCCTACGAATAAAAACAAACATACTAACATTTCAAAACTTTATAAATTACCCAGATAAAATATGTATCAATGGCGTGATTAAAATCATCTGAACCCTTATGTTTCTTATGAATAAATATCTTGTAAAATAAACTTAAAATATTTCCTATTTTTCTACATTACTAAATTAATTTCTTTACATCCAAATACGTCCTAAGCTTGGAAAACCAAATATTTTTTTTTATTATTCCAATATTAAAAGAAAAATACAACCCTATTGTGATGTCTTGATATGTCATACGATCCTGCGAATAAAAAAACTATGCTAACATTTCAAAACTTAATAAATGATATTATTTTTATTAAAGCCTTTCATTTAAATATTCTTATTTTATATGAGGAAATTTCTAGTTGTAAGCATAAAAATGGAGTAGAAAGAAGAAGAAACTAAGAAAAATACAACTCTGTTGTGGTGTCCTATTATGTCACAGTAACCTATAAATATATAAATATATATAGGTGTTTTATATATTTGACACTTGTTACTGTTTGTTTTTAATTACGCAAGAAAACTAACTAAAGACAAACCTATATTCCGAATAATTCTTATAACTATTTTTCAACTTACCTCGTTTTCTTCTTCTTAATGCCATTGGGATCTCCTTTCTTTTTGTCATTCTTTTTAGCAGCAGGCGATGTATTGCTATTATTGGCTAATGATGATGATGATGAGGACGAACCATTGCCATTATTATTATTATTTTGACTGGCATCTGGATTTGGTGGTGAACACATCTCATCATGTTTACCTTTATTAAGTTTTAGGCCATTTGTTAACCCGGTGGGAGATTGTTGTTGTTGTTGCTGATGATGTTGCGGGTTAAGACCCCCACCATTCGTTTGGGGTACTGGGCCAGTTAAAAGATTATTGCTATTTGGTGTTGCTGTTGTTGGTGGTGGTGGTCCACCACCAACCATTGCTGTTTGCTGCAACAAACTCCCGTCGGTATTTGGATTGGCACCCAACGATGTCGGCACGGCCGATGAGTTGCCGATTAAACCATTTGCGGTTAATGGGGACATATTATGTTCATTGGAATTAATAATTTCATGGTGATTGTGATGAGGACTGCTGGTAGCATAGATGTGATGAGGGTGTGGTGCTTGATGATGAGGAAGTTGTTGGTGTTGCTGCTGCTGTTGATGTCCATGGGGATCATAATCCATTTTACCATTGGTATGGTGGAGCTGATGCTGTTGATGGTGATGATGAGCATAGTCCAGCATGGCATTGGGGGAATGGTGGAGTTGTTGCTGCTGTTGATGATGAAGGGGATGTTGATGGTGGGCCATTGACTTGTGATGTTGATGAGCCAAACCATTTGGTGTATGATTACCCGATTGTGAGGGCGGTGGGGTTGATGAGTATTGCTGATGATGATCCAATTTATGAGCCGATCCACCGCCATTGGCTGTGGTCAAATATTCATATTTCTGTGTTGGCGAATAACAGCCCATTTTCGTAACATATTCCATTTTATTATCGTAATCGGGTGTTGAAGATTTATATGGATCCATTTTGGGCGATGTTGATGACAACAAAGTTTGGCAATCCGGCAAACGTTGTGAACACAAATCCCCTTGACCACTGTGCTGCATAACTGTAGCTCCCGGTGGCAAACTTAACATAACCGAATGCATGCCATGGGCCACAGATGTTGGTGTTAAGGGTTTACCATCCAAAGGACTCAGGGGTCCTGAGAATTCAAATATTTGATCCTCAAAGGCGGTATGCTCCATAGTTAGTTTTTTTTTTTATTTTGAAATAATTTTCTTTTTTTTCTAGGAACTTTGTTTTATTTTCTTTAAATTGTTTATTATTTTTTAAATTGTTGTTGTTGTTATTTTTTTAATTGTAATAATTACATTTATTTTTTGTAAGTATTTATTTTAATTGGAATTTTCGCACGACTATTTAAATGTCTGGCTGGCGTAACTTAATCCATTTTGTTGCTTAATCAAAGTGTGCGCGAAAACGCGAAATTAAATCAATTTCAATTAATCAATTTGATGATATTGGCGGGGAGAACAGCAGCCCAGCCGACACTTGTACAATTGATGTATCCAAGTCCGTTCGTCCGTCCGCTTGAGTGGCTATACTAATTAATTACATTAAACGCAACTGCATCGAGTCGACTCTGGTCTATTCATTCACATTGATAAAAATTATCAAAATCTTTGCACTTTTCTGTGATTATTTTTGTCCCAACGATTTTTTGTTTAATTTTTTATAATTCTTTTTTGTAACAATTTATTTGCGGTTTAAACACTGTTATTGATATCGAAATAACAACGACGGCAACACCACACTCTACCGTTGTTCTTCTGCGTCGAACGGCCCTTAATTGAATCCGCAAACGGCGATGATTGTCTTTTTATACCCAATTTAGGTGAACAGCATTTTCCAAATTATTTCCACCAATCAGAATTCAGTAATGGCCGTTTTGCCATTAGGTGTGCGTGTGTGTTGTCTTGCAACAACCACGAATCATAACATTGGATTGGTTGTGTGTGCGTGCGTGTGTGTGTGCTTCCATTTGACTGAGATTGAAGAGCGAACAGTAACATCAACAGCATAGCACATATGAGAGTAAAAGAGAAAGAGAGGTTAGTAGATGATCGTTGTTATTGTTTTGTTGACTGCCTTGCTGACTGCATGCATAGGCCTTTGACAGTATTGTTTGTGTATTTCCCTTTTGCTGTGCTGTGTCAGTTTTATCGATGCTGGCTGGGACTTGCTGTGTTGCGTTTTTTCTTTGTACGTTCATTGTAATGTAATGCTGAATCCTACCGTTGTTGCATTTCCTGCATTCTTACAAATGTTCCCAGGAAAAGAAATTGCCAGCATAATTAAAATAATAGTATCCTGAGAATTTTGATTGTTTTTTTTTTGTTTTATTTTCGCAGCCAAAAGTAAAAGTATATTTGTGAGACGGGGAAAATGTCAAAAAATCATGGAGTGGATAATGATTGAATGTAAAAAGTTGAATGTAAAAAGTTGAATGTTAAAAGCTTTGTGCCGGGGAACGGTTCTTTTGCCATCATCGATTGATTTAACTTTGATTGGTAGAAAATGAAATAACGCCTATAACAAAATTCAAATATTCACTTGAAAAATATTTTTCGTATAAATATTAAGAAGATAAAGTAGTTTCTCTTCTTAATGGGAGGGCGTAATGTGTGTTTTACATTTTGTAATCAGTAGTGCAATTCTGTAATTATTTTTTGTATTACCGACACATATCGATAAAATTAAAGCACATATTTTTCAATCAATCATATCAATTGGTAGGACTTAACGACTGCTTTATTTTGGTCGTTAACTCAACGAACGCTCCCCTATTTTTATAGTTTTTTAAAAAAAAACTAGATAAACAATTATATTTTTGATTAGCTTATATATTACACTGGACTCAGAGCCATTTCGGCGCCAAACAATGTGGACAAAGGATGTCACGATTTTAATGGGATCATAACTTAGATGAGTCATAAAATCTAATAGTATTTTTTCTAATAAGAATTTGTAAATTTGACAACTGTCTAGATCAAGACTGCGAAGTCGATTAATTTGGCCGCAAATGGAATATGAGTTGAAAAATACCATTCGAATTCTACTTCGTAAACGTCGTGAAAACAAATCCTCTAGATCACTATGCTGCATAACTGTGATTCCCGTTGGCAAATTTAACCTAACTGAATGCCTGCCATAGGGCACAAATGTGGGTGTCAAGGGTTTACCAATCAAAGAACTGAGCAGTCCTGAAAATTCTTTAAACATTTTTTTCCTCAACGGCGGTATGCCCCTTTAAATTATTTTTTAGGAATTAAAAAATAAAAGAGATTAGAGATTCGTACAATCATACTAAATTGTTGGCGCCCAACGCCCAACGGACTATCGGAAGAAACAGGATAAACTAAATAAACAATTATAATTTTGATTATTCTATTACACAAGATTCAGAGCGATTTTACAATTTTGGCGCCCAACGCTGTGGCCAAAGAATATCCCGATTTTAATCAGACGATAACATATCCCCTGGACCACAGTGACTTCCCTTGGCAAACTTAACATATGTGGGTATTAAGGGTTTACCAACCAAAGAACTGAGCGGTCCTGAAAATTCTCTTAATATTTTAACCTCATAGGCGGTATGCTCCTTTAAATTATTTTTTGGGAATTAAAAAAATAAATAAAAATAGATTAGAGATTCTTACAATTATACTAAATTGTTGGCGCCCAACGCCCAAAGGGCTATCGGAAGAAACAGGACAAACAAAATAAACATTTGATTAGCTTAAACATTACTCAAAGCGATTTTACCATTTTGGCGCCCAACGCTGTGGCCAAAGAACGTCTCGATTTTATTCAGACGATAACATACTTATCTGAGTACAATCAATTCCCCTGGGCCACTATGCTTCACAACAGTGACTTCCCTTGGAAAACATAACAACCCAATGCCTGCCATGGGCCACATTGAGGGTATCCTGAGCGGTCCTGAAAATCCACTAAATACTTAATCCTAAAAGCCGGTAGGATCTTTTAAAAAATCAAAAATACATTAGAAATTAAAATTCGTACAATCATACACCCAATTTTGTTTCCTGTATAGGTGTATCGGTTAGCACAGGATAAACTAGATAAACAATTGTAGTTTTGATTACCTTATACATACACAGGACTTAGGACGATTTTACAATTTTGGCGCCCAACAATGTGGCCAAAGATCGTCATGATTTTAATCAGGCCATTAAACAAATTAACCAATCGTGTTTTCCAATAAGAATCTGTAAATTTGGGCCAACTTTTTGAACAGTTTTGCTGTAACACTTCAATTTGTTCATATATATTATCCCCAAAATTTCTCAGTCAGTGTTTTTTTTTTGTTTATTTACATATTTTTTTCTTGAAGATCTTTAAAAAAAGTAAAAAATAAATTAAAAATTACCAATACCAATAGATTAATATACTATTGCTGGCGCCCAACGTTTCACTATCCCTTATATTCCCGAAATATATGTATTTATATATACATTAGGGCGGGCCAAATTTTTTTTCGATTAAATTTAGCCTCTAGGATGATTCTATGGACAATTATAAGCAACTTTAGGGAAGGAACCATAGGTATATCTCGTTTTTCGAGCCTCCCACTTTTAAAAAATTATTTTTTCAAAATTCGATTTGTTATCAATGTTATCGAAAAACTTTTTCTCAATCCCCATGAGCAAAATATTTTTTGTGGTCCTCGCCCGGATACCTAGTTGCAATACAATCCTTTTGCTTTTCATTGAACAACTTCAAATTCCTATATGCATACCGGTCTGTCAGTTGTTCTCATGTGGGACACGTGTTATTATGTCCACCCTTGGCGTACGTCTCTACAGTTTCAAGCATCGCAATTTACAAAAAAAAACACCACCAAGTGATTGTGGGCCACCACGAGAACGAACAGACGTCACTATGAAAGTTTGACAAAAAAGTGTGCGACTTTGAACCTTTAAGGATTTCATTCTCGTTGGTTATGAGCGAGTGAATAATATATGTGGAGAGGAGGGTGACTTCATGATCACTGCTTTTACCACGCGTGTGACCGAAAGTATTTTACGGGCCATGATCGCGACCTTTGCTGGTCGTCTGTTTTAATATGCTGGTATTTGCCTAAAATGTGAAAAAGTTTTTTTTTTTTTTGGATTTTGCGTGGGGGAAGAAAGTGTTTTCACACGAGCTGGCAAAAGATAAGGGCTATTCAAATATTTTATACAATTTTTATAATAGTAATGTAGGATTGTGTGTTTATATGTAATTTATAGGAAATTTATTACTTTAAAGTCCGCAAAAAATGCAAATTCACATATGATATTCTAAAAATTGGTGAGCATTACTTAAGATTATTCCGATCAGAATTAAATTCGGCAAAGATCACAATATTAGTGATATATTCCTTGTTATTGGTATTTTCTTATAGTCCTTAAAAACTAATCCTTATAAAATCCACGTCTCTTATAGGCCTTTAAAAATATTTTTTATAAAATCCACGCCTTTTATTGGCCTTGAAAAAATATTCTTTATAAAATCCACGCCTTTTATAGGCCTTGAAAAAATATTCTTTATAAAATGCACGCCTCTTATAGGCCTTGAAAAAATATTCTTTATAAAATTTACGCTTCTTATAGGCCTTGAAAAAATATTTTTTAACGAGCATTTTATTAATAAATCTTTCTTCAGAGGTTTACAATATTTGATACCGATAAATTTAATACTTAATATCTCCCGCATTTTGATCCAAATGTCCTCTCCTTATACAAGAAAAAAAAACAAAAATTTCCCAGCAAAACGAACTGCTTCCCACAGTATCAAAAGTTAATATCCATTCATCAACATTATTTGATATTATTGAACGCAGTTTGATATTGAATTGGAAGTTGGCTGGGTGTGTGTGTATTTTTCGCTTTCTTCTTCATCTGCCTCTAAATGCGGGCAGCGGCAAAGGAGACACATAAATTTGATATTAACACGCTAATATGAACAAGCCTTGATCAGACTCAGTGAATGTCTGAAGGACTAGGCCAAAAGAAGTGATATTTAGTGGTGGTGATGGCGACTAAATAATACTGGTGCTAATGGGTGGTGGGTTTGTTTGGGAAAATAACTTGTTGAGGTTATGTTGTGCATTTTTCTTTAGTTTTCTAATTTTGCATGAAAAAGATACCTATTGCCCCTATAATTTTGGGGGATAATTAAGATGTTAGG